CCATTAGTTTTCGCCTCATGTATTTTGTTATTCTGTTGTTAGGTGCATACTACTTAAGTATTATTATATTTTCTTGGATATTGACCCCTTTACCATTATGTAATGTCCCTCTCTATCTCTGATATTTTTTCTTCCTCTGAAGTCCACATTGTCTAAAGTTAATGTAGTTTCTCTAGCTTTGCTGTGATTTGTGTTAGCATAGTGTATCTTTCTCTCTTTACTTTTAATCCACTTTTTTAATATTCAAAGCCAGTTTCTTATAGACAATATATAGTTGAGTTTGCCTATTTATCACCTTGACATTTTCTGTCTTTGAATTGATGTATTTAGACCATTCACATTTAAAGTGATTATTGATATATTTGGTTTATTTTTGTATTCTTCACTCTTCAACTTTGTTTTTTAATTTCATAATATTGCAGAAGTACCAATGCTGTGGTCATGTAAATTACCTTTGCACCACCCCAGTCAAAGCTACAAATCTGCCTATTCGCCAGACAGCACGTGCTGCTCCTGTTAAACGTGAATTTACCTACTCCCACCTCCGCCCTCCCACCTGCCTGACATCTGATGAATGTTACTTCCATATATGCACATAAGTTTGGATAGATTAGTACTAATTTAATTGTGAATATATGTGGTGTTTGGTTTTCCATTCTTGTGATACTTCACTTAGAAGAATGGGCTCCACTTCCATCCAGGTTAATACAAGAGGTATGAGTTCACCATTTTTTATGGCTGAGTAGTATTTCATAGTATACATATACCACATCTTATTAATCCATTCATGTATTGATGGGCACTTGAGTTGTTTCCAAATCTTTGAAATTTTGAATTGTACTGTGATAAATATTTGAGTGCAGGTGTCTTTTTTACAGAATGTCTTCTTTCCTTTGGGTAAATACCCAGTAGTGGGATACTGTTTTCCATAGAGGTGGTACTAAATTGCAGTCCCACCAATAGTGTATAAATGTTCCTTTCCCTCTGCATCCATGCCAGCATCTATTGTTTTGGGACTTTTTAATAAAAGCCTTTCTAATTCGGGTAAGATGATATCTCACTGTGGTTTTAATTTGCATTTTCTGATGATTAGTGATGTTGAGCATTTTTCACATGGTATTGGTACAAAAATAGAGACCTGGACTGATGGAACAAAACAGAGAACCCAGATATAAAACTATCTACCTACAACCAACTGGTTTTTGACAAAGCAAACAACAATATACACTGGGAAAAAAGCAAACAACAATATACACCCTATTCAGTAAATGGTGCTGGTAAAATTCTCCACATGCAGGAGAATGAAACAGCACCCCTACCTCTCACCACTCACAAAAATAAATTCATGATGGATAAAAGACTTAGATCTAAGGTATGAAGCCATAAGAATTCTAGAGGAAAATAATGGCCTAAGCAAATAATTTATGGAAAAAAATCCCAATGGCAATCATGGCAACAACAAAAATTAATAAATGAAATTTTGTTACACTAAAAATTCCTGTACAGCTCAGGTAACAATCAACAAAGCAAATAAGCAACCTACAGAATGGGAGAAAATACTTGTAAGCTACATATCTGATAAAGGACTAATAACCAGACTTTAAAAAGAACTCAAGCAAATCACCAAGAAAAAAATAAACTACCTTATTAAAAAGTGGGCAAAAGATATGAACAGAAGCTTCTCAAAAGGAGAAAGACAAATGGCCAATAAACACACAAAATTTTCTATTTCTTTATTTTTATTTTTTTTATTTCAGCATATTATGGAGGTACAAATATTTAAGTTACTTGTGTTGCTTTTCCCTCCTTTCCCCCCCACCCGGAGTCAGAGCTTCAAGCGTGTCCATCCCCCAGATGATGCGCATCACACTCACTATGTATGTATATACCCATCCCCTTCTCCCTCCCATCTGCCCAATGCCCGATAAATGTTATTCCTATAGTCCACTTAGGTGTTGATGTATTTGTTTATGATTTAACTTTGGTAAGTTGTATGTGTGCTTGAATTTATCCCTTTCTTCTAGTTTTTCCAATTTGTTGGTATATATTGTTCATGGTAGTTTCTTAAGATTCTTTGTATTTCTGTGGCATCAGCTGTAATGTCTCCTTTCTTCTTTGATTTTATATATTTGAGTTGTCCCTCTTTTTTCTTAGTATAGCTAATGGATTGTGGATACTTTTATCTTTTAGAAAAACAGCTCTTGTTTTGGTGATCTTTTGTATTTTTTATTCTCTATTTTATTTATTTCTGCTATGATCTTTAATTCTTTCTACTTTAGGCTTAGATCATTTTTTGATTTTCTAGTTCGTTAAGGTGTAATGTTAGGCTGTTCATTTGAGATCTTTTTAGTTTTTTGATGTTTTATAAGTTTTTATTTTAGAAATGCTATATGTTGGTATGTTGCATTTCCATTTTCATTTGTCGCAAGGAGCTTTTAAATGTTCTTGTTAATTTATTCGTTGACACAGTGGTTCTTGTGATTGACTTTTGTATATTAACTTTGTGTCTTGAAAACTTGCTATAAACATTTATTAGTTCCAGAAGACTTTTTGTTGTTGTTAATTCTTTTAGATTTTCTACATAGAGATTGTGTCACCTGTGAACAAAGACAGTTCTATTTCTTCCTTCCTAATTTTTATACTTTATTTCATTTTTTATTTTATTTTGTCAGCTAGGACTTCCAGTATGATGTTGAAAGGAATACTGAGAGGGGACATCCTTGACTTGTTCTGGATCTTAGTGGGAAATTTATAGCTTTTCACCATTAAGTATGATGTTAGTTGTAGACTTTTTGTGGATGTTCTTTATCAAGTTAAGGACCTTCCATTTTTTGCTAGCTTACTCAGACTTTTTGTTATGAATTGCTGTTGGATAATGTGAAATTATTTTTCGGCATCTATTAATATTATCATGTAATTTTTCTTCTTTAGCCTATTGATGCAATGAATTACATTAATTAGTTATCAAATGTTGAACCAACCATGCATATCTAGGATGAATTTCACTGGGTTATGGTGTGAAATTATTTTTATACTTTGGTGAATTCAACTTGCTATTCTTTTGTTAAGGATCTTTGCATCTATTTGATGAGAGATATTGCTGTGTACTTATACTGTGTTTGTCTGGTTTTGATATTAGGGTAATACGTGTTTCATAGAATGAGTTAGGAAATATATACTATGGTTTAATTTTCTGAGAGAAATTGTAGAGAATTGGTATGATTTCTTCCTCTTACATTTTTTTTATTTTTCAGCCTTATTGAGATATGACTGACAAAATTGTATATATTTAGGGTATACAAGGTGATGATTTGAGATATGTATACATTATGGGAAAATTGCCACAATTAAAAAATTGCCACAATTGAAATATCCATCATCTCATAGTTACTTTTTTGTTTGTTTTTGCGCTAAGAACATTTGAGAGCTACTCTCTTCATAAACATCAAGTATAGAATATGTTATTATTTACTATAGTTACCATGTCATACATTATATCTTTAGAACTTATTCATCATGTAATTGAAAGTTTATACCCTTTGATAAATATTTCCCCTTTCTCCACTTCCCAGATCCTAGTACCCATCATTCATTCTCTGTTACTGTGAGGTTGACTGTTTTAGATTCCACATATAAGTGAGATCACACAGTATTTATCTTTTTGTGTCTAGCCTATTCACTTAGCCCAATGTTCTCTGAGTTTATTCATATTTTCACAAATGACAAGATTTTCTTCATTTTAAGGCTGAATAACATTCTATTGTGTGTATGTGTACATACACATATGTATATGTAGATAAATATACATCATATATTATGGATATAAAGGAATGCGCACACTCCGCATTCCTTTATCCATTCATCTGTTGATGGGCACTTAGGATTAAGATTTTTCTTAATTATTGTAAATAATGCTGCAACAAGCATTGGTAGTGCAGATGTCTTTTCAATAGAGTAATTTTATTTCCTTTGGATATATACCCAGAAGTGGAATTGCTGGATTACATAGTTCTGTGTTTAATTTTTTGAGAAATTTCTAAACTTTCCATAATGGTTGTACCAATTTACATCATCACCAATAGTATACGAAAGATCACTTTCCTTCATATCTTCATGAACACTTGTTGTTTTTGCCTTTTTGATAATAGCCATTCTAAAACTTGTGAGATGATATCTTATTGTGATATTGATATGAATTACCTTGAGATATCTGAAGTCTTTTATGGTTCTGTGTGAATTTTAGGATTATTTTTTCTATTTCTGTAAAAAAATGGCATCACTAGGGCACTATGGATATTTTAACAATATTAATTTTTTCATTCTATGAACATGGGATATCTTGCTCTTTATTTGTATCTTATTCAACTTCTATCATCAATATCTTATAGTTTTCAGTATACAGAGTGTTTACTTTCTTAAGTAAACTTATTTCTAAATATTTTATTTTTGATGCTATTATAAATAGGATTGTTTCCTTAAATTTTTTTCAGATTGTTTGTGATTAGTGTATAGACATGCAACTGATTTTTCTATTTTGATTTTGTATCCTGTAATATTAATAAATTTGTTTATTAGTTTTAACAGTTTATTTTAGTGGAATCTTTAGGTTTTTCCTATGCATAAGATCATGTCACCTGCTAAGAAAGACAATTTAATGTCTTTATTTTTTATTAGATTCCTTCAATATGCATAATATTCTTAAGCTCTACTTCTCTCATCTGTTATATGAGAATGAAATACAAATTCCCTTCAATTCATGTTAGAATTAAGTTAGATAATATTTGAAAATTGCTCAGTATAGTAGATGGCATGTAATAGCTATTTTGTAAGATTTAAAATTATTTAAAATATTTGTATTCGATTGAATAATTAGTGTATTAAATTATTTAGTATGTAAAGTTAAATATTTGTATAGTAAAATATCTCTAATTACCACAATTTTACCTCAAACTAAATGTTAGTTTTAAATCAACTAATTTGGCAATGTCTTATTATTCCAGTTAAAAGAGAGGCAGCTTCAGAACTTCCATATACAACAGAAAACCTTCCAGAAGATTTTCCCTCAATTAATGATCTTATATTTCAATTAGATTTAAACAAAGTTGTTGGTAAGTACAGATTTAAGTTTGACACAGTAGAACACAGTCCAAGAGTTAAAGTATTTCAGCCTTATAGTTCTATCATAAATAAAACAGCAACAACAATAACAGCAGAAAATTTAAACAAAGGGTGGCCTTTTGTAACTTAATAATAATTTCATTCTAATCAGTCAATCTACATATCAGGTAATATGCTTCTTTATATTATGTGCTGTTTACTACACCAAATAACATTTATCATATAATGCTAAGTATATTTTCCTTTCTTTGCTCATGAGACAAAATATGTAGATTTTTCCTTACATTGCAAATTTTTATAACATCAAATATATGCCATATTATCAGTTCCTTGATAATATAATTTTCATTACTAATATCTTTTGTATAACAAGATGGAATAACAAATGGAACTAGTACTTTATAGGCAATATGGCTGCATTGTGATCTGGTTATCATTAAATTGGGAAATTTCTAATCATGAAAAAATAGTAAGAAGTTAAAATATGTGCTAAAGCTGGTGTAGCCAAGTGACTAAGTATTTTCCAATAAGATTTAAACTAAAGTGTTCTGTGGTAGCTTTCACACCACTACCTTAAAGGCAACAGGCAAGCATCAGCAAAATGGCAGATTAGGAACATCCAAAGTCATATTCCTTGATAGAAACATTGAAAAAAATTAAGCATAATCTGTCAGAACCAACTTTATCAGAGCTCTGGTAAGTGGTCAGAGGTTTACGGCAACAATGAAAATGCCTAATTAAGAAAAAGCCATCCTCAAGAGGATAAGAAAGTTTTTTGGAAGTGTTGAAGGACTGTCCCAGCAAAAGCCAATCTGCAAAGAGTGGGAGAGCTTTTGGCATTCAGGGCATTACCAGTAGACCTGTCTCATTAGATATGCTACAGGGAGTTCTTCAGGATAAAATAAAAGCATACTAGACATAACTTAAACATATGAAGAAATAAAGATGTCTGGTAAAGGTAAGTACATGGACAAACATAAAAGCTATTATTAATATAATTTCAGTTTGTGGCTCTAATTTTTGTATGTATAGTATTCAAAAGACAAGTATGTAAAACTAATAATTACATGATAAATATAATTATATAGAAAATAATCATAAATCTATAATTATTGGGCATATAATACATAAAGATGATTTTTATGTCAGAAAATAAGGACAGGACAGATGAACTGAATAGGGATATAGTTTTTGGATGTGATTTTTTTTTTATTTCAGAATATTATGGGGGTAGAAATGTTTTGGTTATATGAATTACCTTTTTATGGTGTCAGTCAAAGTTATAAGTGTATCTGTCACCCAGATAGTGTGCGTTGTACTTATTAGGTATGAATTTACCCATCTCATCATCCTCCCCTCCCTGCTTGATTTCCATTGAATTTTACTATTATATGTACAGGAGTATATTGATCATTTAGTTCCATTTTAATAGTAAATACATGTGCTGTTTTTCCATTCTTGTGATACATCACTTAGGAGAGGGGTCTACAGTTCCATCCAGATTGTTACAAAAGGCATTATTTCACCACTGCTTTTTTTTTTTTTTTTTTTTTGAGATAGAGTCTCGCTTTGTTGCCCAGGCTAGAGTGAGTGCCGTGGCGTCAGCCTAGCTCACAGCAACCTCAAACTCCTGGGCTCGAGTGATCCTTCTGCCTCAGCCTCCCGGGTAGCTGGGACTACAGGCATGCGCCACCATGCCTGGCTAATTTTTTTATATATATATCAGTTGGCCAATTAATTTCTTTCTATTTATAGTAGAGACGGGGTCTCGCTCTTGCTCAGGCTGGTTTTGAACTCCTGACCTTGAGCAATCCGCCCGCCTCGGCCTCCTAAGAGCTAGGATTACAGGCGTGAGCCACAGCGCCCGGCCTCACCACTGCTTTTTATGACTGAGCAATACTCCATGGTAGACATATACAACATTTATTTATCCACTCATGTATTGATGGGCACTTGGGTTGTTTCCGGATCTTTGGAATTGTGAATTGTGATGCTATAAACATTTAAGTAAAAGTGTCTTTTTTAAATAAAATGTCTCTTTTTCCTTTGAGTAAATACCCAGTAGTAGGGACTTCAGGACCAAATGGTAGGTCTACTTTTAGTTCTTTGAGGAATTTCCATACTACTTTCCATAGAGGTTGAATTAGTTTTCAGTCCCACCAGTAGTGTATAGGTATTCCTTTTCTTATGCATCCACACAAGCATCTGTTGTTTTGAGACGTTTTGATAAAAGCCATTCTCACTGGAGTTAGGTGATGTCTTGTTGTGGTTTTGATTTGCATTTTCCTGATGATTAGAGATGTTTAGCATTTTTCTTTATTTATTTGTTTTTTATTTCGGCATATTATAGGGGTACAGATTTTAAGGTTTCAATAAATGCCCATTTCCCCCGCTCCCACAAAAGTCGGAGTCTCCATCATGACCATCCCCCAGATGGTGCACATCTCACTCATTATGTATGTATATACCCGGCCCCCTGCCCCCTCCCACCTGCCCAATACCCTATTACTGTAGTACCTATGTGTCCACTTAGGTGCTACTCAGTTAATAACAGTTTGCTGGAGAATATATCTGGTGCTTGTTTCTCCATTCTTAGGATACTTCACTTAGTAGTATGGGTTCCAGCTCTAACCAGGAAAATATAAGATGTGCTATATCACTGTTGTTTCTTAGAGCTGAATAGTACTCCATGGTATACATATACCACATTTTATTAATCCATTCTTTTTTTATAAATTTTTTTTTATTTTGGCATATTATGGGGGTACAGATTTTAAGGTTTCAATACATGCCCATTCCCCCCTCCCAAAAGTCTGAGTCTCCATCATGACCATCCCCCAGATGGTGCACATCTCATTATGTATGTATATACCCCCCCCCTCCACCTCCCAAACCCTGTTACTGTAGCACCTATGTGTCCACTTAGTGCTACTCAGTTAATACCAGTTTGCTGGAGAATATATCTGGTGCTTGTTTTTCATTCTTGGGATACTTCACTTAGTAGTATGGGTTCCAGCTCTAACCAGGAAAATATAAGATGTGCTGTATCACCATTGTTTCTTAGAGCTGAATAGTACTCCATGGTATACATATACCACATTTTATTAATCCATTCTTGGATTGATGGTCACTTGGGCTGTTCCACAGCCTTGCAATTATGAATTGCTGCTATACACATTCGAGTGCAGGTGTCTTTTTGTAGAGTGTCACTGGATCATTTGGGTAATGCCCAGCAATGGGATTGCTGGATCAAATGGTAGATTCACTTGTATCGCTTTAAGGTATCTCCATATTGCTTTCCACAGAGGTTGAACTAGTTTGCAGTCCCACCAGCAGTGTAGGAGTGTTCCTCTCTCTCCGCAACCACGCCAGCATTTATTGTTTGGAGATTTTTGATAAAGGCCATTCTCACGGGGTTAAGTGATATCTCATTGTGGTTTTGATTTGCATTCCCTGATGATTAGAGATGTTGAGCATTTCTTCATATGTTGTTGGCCATTCTTCTGTCTGTTTAGAAAAGTTTCTGTTCAAGTCCTTTGCCACTTTTAAAGGAGTTATTTGATTTTTCTTCCCGATTTTCGTGAGTTCTAAGTATATTCTAGTTATCAGTCCTATCGGATGCATAGGAGCAAAAATTTCTCCCATTCTGTAGGTTGTCTGTTTACTTTCATGACTATTTCTTTGGCTGTGCAGAAGCTTTGTAGTTTGATCGTGTCCATTTATTTATTTTGTTGTGCTGTGATTGCCTTTGGGACTTCTCATAAACTCTTTGCCCAGCGATGTCTAGGAGAGTGTTTCCAACTTTTTCCTCTAGAGTTCTAATAGTTTCATATCTTAGTTTAAGTCTGTTATCCAGCCTGAGTTGGTTTTTGTGAGAGGTGAAAGGTGTGGGTCCTGTTTTAGCCTTCTACACGTGGCTATCCAGTTTTCCCAGCACCATTTATTGAAAAGGATTCTTTTCCCCAGTGATGTTTTGTCTGCTTTGTCAAAGATTAGATGGCTATATGAGGATGGTTTTATATCAGGATTCTCACATCTGTTCCACTGGTAAATATTCCTATTTTGTGCCAATACCATATTGTTTTAATTACTACAGCTTTGTAGTATAATTTGATATCTGGCATATTAATGCCTCCATTTTGTTTTGTTGCCTAGAATTGCTCTTGATATACGGGGTCTTCTTTGGTTCCATACGAAGTGTAAAATTATTTTTCTATATTGTGAAGAATGCTGATGGGTTTAATAGGTATTGCATTGAATCCCTAGATCAGTTTGGGTAGTATAGACATTTTGATGATATTGAGTCTGCCGATCCACGAGCATGGTATGGATTTCCATCTGTTTACATCCTCTGCTATTTCCTTCCTCAGTGTTTCATAGTTCTTCCTGTAGAGGTCTTTTACCTCCTTGGTTAAGTATATTCCTAGGTACTTTAATTTCTTTGTTGCTATTGTGAAGGGAATTGAGTCTTTGATTTGGTTCTCAAATAGATTGTTGTTGGTGTATATGAATGCCTCTGATTCTGTGTATTGATTTGTATCCTGAGACTTTACTAATTCATTGATCAGTTCCAGAGTTCTTCGTTGAATCTTTGGGGTTTTCTAGATACAATATCATTTCATCAGCAAACAGTGAAAGTTTGATCTCTTCTGCCCCTATTTGGATACCTTTGATTCCATTTTCCTGTCTGATTGCTGTAGCCAAGACTTCCAGCACTATGTTGAACAGAAGTGGAGATAGTGGGCAGCCTTGTCTGGTTCCAGTTCTTAGTGGGAATGCTTTCAATTTTTCCCCATTCAGTATGATGTTGGCTATGGGTCTGTCATATATGGCTTGTATCATTTTTAGGTATGTCCCTTCTATGCCTATTTTCTTAAGTGTTCATATCATGAAAGTGTGTTGAATTTTGTCAAAATCTTTTTTCGCATCTATTGAAAGAATCATGGTCTTTGTTTTTGCTTCTGTTTATGTGGTGATTTGCATTTATAGA